TTATTTGTAACTGGAACAAACTACAGGCTCCCTACTTTTGGCAGCAGCATATAGCTCTAAAAGGTTAAATATCCCAACATCTGCATGCCTTTTCTCTGAGCTTTTAGACCTGTGCATCTAAGCATATGTTTAGGAACATTTAGTACAGTGATCATTGGGTTAAATTTACTCTACTTACACAGAATCGATAATGATAAAGTGAATGGTTTTTGGCACTGTGAATGCTCTACCTTGTAAAATAAAAAATGATAACAAGAAGTTAACAATTCCAACATAAATTAAATCATAAGTTTCTCTCCTCTTTTGTTTGACAAGACTTGGAGATAAGAATGTCATGTTTTCCTTTACAAGTGTTAATCACGATTGGGGAAGAAAGCACAAAACAAACAAAAATGGGTCTTAGAAATTTAAAAAACTATAGTATTTGGGCATTTTAAAATGCCCGTTATTGTTTTGTGTAGCATCAAAGTCCAGCATTCAAGTCTTGCATCTAAACAAATATTGCATGAGTGTGATTTGCTCGTTTTAGGGCAAAAATATTATTAAAAATAATTATAATTTTTTTATCCCCATTCAGCGATGGATACTGTGCATAACTTAAAGTGAAGAATGTGTTTGTGCTGAAATTTGCCACTATAAGAAGCACTTTTTCTGAGCAGATTCTGTACCGCTCATATAACGTGGCATCTCCCCGTACTCTGGTGTGCCGAAAGATCTGGAAAATGTGTAAACTTAGAAACGCTGTCATGGTCCCATGCTGTTCTTGTGAAGCAGCTGGTAATAGAGTTATATTAATTGATGGAGCAGTTGAAAGAATTTTAATGCTTAATCAGTAGGAAAACCTTTCTAGTACAGTTAAACTTTGACTACTAATATCCTAACTAGTGAATCAAAAGTTAATTTTGACTTGCTGCTATTCATATAGAAAGTGACTTTAGTGTTATCAAAGTATCCACACTGTGTGTCTGCCCTTGAGACATTTCAAGCACAGATGGTGTGTGGAAGAGGTAGGTGTGTGGTTTCTCAGTTATGCCATATGGCTTTATTTGAGAAAAAACTTCCAAGTTGTTTGACTTCTGCTCAGAAGGGCTAATGTCCTTTGCTTGCTGTCCTTTTTCTGTCCTAAGCGTAGGCTGGTTTTGTGGCTTCAGATTAATAAGCCAATGTCTAATTCGGCTCCTAAATTGAATAGCTACCAAATTAAAAATAAAAAAAAATAAAAATTGTTATGACTGTACCATCGCAGGGCTGTGTTACTCATGAATGCCCACACCTTTCCATATGGTGGACCGATTCCTTTCCAGTGGCTTGTGTCATACATCTGTTCAATGTTAATAATACACATATGTCTTCTGCCTTCAGGATGAACTATTTGTTTTGCCTGGCATCTTCCCCCCCCTTTCTCTCACTCTTTTTGTTAGGTGCTGCATCAGTAGTAAATAAAGCAGCTAGCTGTGCCCAGGGGACTTTTTGTGAGTAGCCACATGTGCAGCCTGCATCCTTTTCCGTGAATGGGAATCTGTGTGTTTCTCTTCCAAAACATCACAGGAAGCAAGATGGACCCTTTGAGGTAGATGACAAGGGCAACTAAAACATACAATTTGGGTTGTTTTCTTCGGAGTTTTTGCATATTCTGTACACAGTAGCTGGTAAATTCCTGTCCTGATTGAAAACATGAGCACTCCAGCACACTTTCAGATGGTATTGGGAAGTATTTTTAAAAAGTACTCTGTAAATTTCAAGAGATTCAAACACCTGTGGGACTATGAACTGTTTCCTGTTGTCCTGCCTCTCAATATGTTCAAAACATTAAGGAAAAGCTAAAGTTCCCTGAAACTACCTCACAGCTGGCTAGCTGAGCAACCCTGTGTATGTGTAAAGCAGAATACGTAAAGTGGTGTGAAAGTGTCACTAAGTCAGACAATTTCTGCTTTCTGTCTTTTAGAGCTGGAAGCTGGTGGCAATGCTTCACAAGCTCTGGCAGTGTTGGTATAGTTATGTTGGATGCTGTAAAGACGGGCCAGAACATGTTAGTAGAGTTGTGACAGTGGTCGAAAGCAGTCCATCATGTCACACCCAGGCAGCTCATGTGAAGAGGGTCCTGCGTGCCTCGAGGTTTGGTGTTTATCAGTCCCATATCCTGACGTGGGAACAGGGCTTTGGTGTCCTGTGGTACTATGAGCAGTTAAGGAAAGTCACTGAAAAATTGCATGGGTCAAGTTTGTAGCACTAAACTTCTCTCCCTTTCCTGCCACAACCCTACATCCATTAAGACATCAGATAAACTGTACAGAGCACTATAGAAGATCAGCCTTCAAGCAAAAATACATTTTCAGCTTCGACTATACGATAAAGTCTGATGTTGTTAGGTTTCCCAACCAAGTATGTACACAGGCTGGCCAACCCTAGTGCTTAGGGCGATGATAAACTGCTTTCACAACAAGTGAGCACAATTCACTGAACATCTTGCATCACGTCTGAAGCACGGGGTAGAGGGAGTGCATGTTCCCATGCACCTGACCCCCTGTCAGGTCTACTAGTGTTAGCAACTATGAGTATGTGAAAAGTGATTGTTAAAAGCTGCTGAAACAGTAGTTTATGTAATAAAAAAAAAAAAAAGACACACACAACCAAAAAAACCCCAATAAAATAATCTCCCTGGCTATGAGCATCATTCACTCTGCTTTTGGTGCAGCTGTCCTGCTATAACCACCAGTTGATTCAGCAAAGCCTTTTACCATGTGCTTATATTCTTTTCAGCATGTTCAGGGTTATTTAGCACATATTAATTGCACCCAGGTTTAGTGCATTGCTGACCTTTAAAGCTCTAATGAATCATTGGCTGCATCTGCATCACTGTCTGTCTTTTGGTTGCAACTCTGTGCACTAGAAAAAGCTCGGAGGAAGTGGTACTTAAGGGATCACATCAGATGCTTCAAATGGGAGGAAAGCAAATGCTACTGCACAAAGGCATGTTTGATCCAGGAGTGGGAAAAGGCTTTAAAAGCCTTTCTAGACTTCTGCTTAACCTCTGGCTCAGGTACTTTTAATATAGATGAAATCTGAGATGCTCTCGCAACCTCAGGTTGAATAGTGTCATAGTTGGTTTTTTATACTTGTGGTGTTTTCCAGAAATAAGTTTCTAAAGAATAATACCAGTATTGAACTGTTAATTTTGGAATAATAGCTGCTAATGCTGGCTTGCTCATCCACTGTGATTGGAACTCCCCTTGGCCTGGTATTTAAAATATAAATAAGGTTATTTTAAGGTCCAGCAAAACTGTAGAAGCAATTGTGTCAAGTCTGAGTGTCCCCTGTTGCTCTCTGTGGTGTAGGAAGGGGGAACCCTTTTGATCATCTCAGTGATCAGATACCAGTAATTCTCTGAAGCCCAATTCAGCAAGCCTGCTTCAGATTAACTTCCATATCCTGAAAACAGCTAAGTTATTTGAGAGCCACCTACACAGCTCTCAATTACATTTGTTTCTGATGATGTATCTCGGTGGCTTAACCATAGTGCCATACTGTGTATTGGAATTAGTAAAACAAAAGTGTTTCAAACCTATTTCTACATATAAAAGAAGGGTGAGTCTCATTCAGCCATATGCTCCTTTTAACAGCAGCTTTTTGGGTTCCCAAAAAAGGGAAGCAGGCTCTCTGGAGAGACCTCCCTGCAGAAAAAGTCCCAGCACCAGCCCAGCCAACCCAGTTCTGGTGATTGCCACAGCACGGTCAGCTCCAGGTGCAGCTGCTGCTGGCTCGCATGAATCTGGTTATCAAACGTTGAAGGGCTTTTTCTTCTTGTTAGCCCAGTCTTAGAAACCAAGGGCTCTGGGGTTGTATGAGTAGGGAACTGGGTTTCCTTCCCCCGCCATGATGAGGGCTAAAACTTAACTGAAGAAGAACATTCCCTGCACGTTATTCCCCTTTTCCCTCCCCAAATAAACACTGCATTTTGGGGGAAAAAAAGTAGGAGCTAGCCGTGCAGTTCTCAGCTTACCCAGCAGACTTCAAGCGTTTGGATTTGACGTCAGCATCAAGCATAACAACACTGTGGATGCTCAAAGTATATATTATTTTACCCCAAAAGGGATCCATGTGATAAAGATCTTTCATTTTGATTCTGCCATCTGATTCAGACACTTGAATCTCGATATATTGTGTCGTGTTTCATGAAGTGAGCTGATTTCTCTGAGTGTTGAGGTCAATCCACAGTATGTATGTTGTAGGATCAAGGACTAATTTAGAGTAGCAAATAAAGTGGCCAAATGTTCATGAGACATTGGGTGGGGAGGAACTGGCAGTCTTTAAAAGCTCTTTAGTGTTACTTAGCCCATGGGTAAGCAGAAATATAATGCATTTGTACACCATTTGAGCATGATGCTTTCTTATTTCACAATGGCAGAAATCATTTTTATAAACAACCAGTTGTCATACAACAGAGAACTATTTACACATAGCTTGGTTGCAGTTACATCCACAATTTGCATTGCAGGGATTATTTCCACCCACCCCACCCCCCCCTCCCTTAAAGGTTACTTATATTGGGCTAGAACTAGTGAATGAGTGGCGTGCCTCTGAATCCCACTTTTGAATGGGTGTCAGTTGTGCTAAGCTTAAAGGTGACTGGGAAGAAAGTCTCTGCAGGTGGGTGTTAAGCAGTTATATAATGACAACCATTAGCACATTTTATGTATAAAAGAAAGTATATCTTTTAATTGCAGAAAGCAGGAAATGTTTGTTAAAAGTCTTCCTTCAAAAGAGCAAGTAAACTTTTACTTCTGACTTCACTTGAGTGCCTTGTTACTTCTACACTGTGGCTTTGGCAGTCCTGTATGATTTTTTTTTTTCTTTTTTTGCCTTTTTCCATCTAATAGATCTCGTCTGCAATGTATGTGTTTCTCTCTTTCATCTGCTGCTGCTTTCCTAGGAAGCAGGGAAGTTTCTCAAAGGGACTTTTAACAGACAATTTAAAATTTGTCATTTACGCAATGTTGCAGAGGAAGACGACGCTGAAGAGGTGCCAGAATTTCAGGTGTCTGGGAAAATTGGAGCAAAAAAGCAGAGGAAATTAGAAGAGAAACAAGCCAGAAAAGCACAGAGAGAGGTAAGCATTTCCTGCCACGTATAGAGCCCAGAGCAGAGCCTGAATAGCAGAACTCTGCAAATAACTGGTGATGGCAGACTCCAGAAAGGCAAAGGCAGTGTCATCACTACAACGGTTATGTGTTTTAAAAATGTAAATTCAGCTTTATAGATCATATCCCAAGAGAGCCATGGAAAATGGTGTCTGGTTTTCTTTCCATTAGGTTCTCTGGAATTCTTGTGGGGAGAAGAGAAGAGTTAAACTCTTGAATGCTCTTTATTGAAGGTTTCCCCTGGCTTGCAGTTTAATGTCAGTACTGTCTCCCCTTAAAAATATACCCAAGCCCACATAGCATTGTTGTAACACTGAGTCTGTGACCAAAACCGTGGGCAGTTCTGAGTAGTGTTTCATGTGCTCTCATAGTGCAAAAACTTTGTATGGTTTTATCTATGTTTAGCTATGTTTGTTGATTTTATAGATCGGGGGAGATGAAAAGCAGACACTGTAATCCACCAAAATCTGTGATGCAGTCAGATTTTGGTTGAAGTTTGGCCCTTAAACAGAGGCTAAGTATGCAGAGCGAACACACTGTGGCTTTTCAGTTTTCTTTCTTAAATCTGTGTGCAAAAGTACTTCAATACTGTTGCATTTTTTCAGTTTTGCCTAGCATTTTGCTGTTAATTCCAGGGAAGCAACAGGCTTTTTGAAACTTGCGTGCTGAAGTGTGCTCCTGGATAGCAGCAGGTTATGCGTTATTTGCCTTTGGTTGTTCTATATATTTTTTTACAAACTCTGTATTTTTCTGTAAGTTGGAACGTGGGGTTGTAAGAAGTAGATAAAACATGCAGAGCCTTTGCATAACGGAGGCTGGAGTGCACGGTGGACTTCACACGTTTTACACCAAGACAGGGTTTACAAAACTACTAATATTTCTAATGTGTAGGGAGTCCAAACAAAGCCAGTGAAATACCATTTTGAGATTATTAGCATCACTTGAGGTTTAATCCAGTTTCTGCTTTACCCTGAAATGGAATGCCCTGTAGATAGGGCAGTTGGTAATAAACTAGATTATTATGTAATATATAAACTTCCATTATGGTCTTTTTCTCACTCTGTGCTTTAACCATTTTGTCATTATTTTCCATATTCATTCTATTTAATTAGCCTCTTTTTTGTGGAAAATTTGAGCAAAGGTGAATGAAGTTAGATAAGCACCGGTTGGTGGATTGAGGAATCTTTTGTTTCATTTTAAAACATGCTGATTTTTATTTTCCCATGTAGATAGATAAATTTCTCTGTTAGAGCTTTTCTCTGAAACATTCAAAGCCACAAATCTTCCATTTTAATGTCTTCTGCTTGTTCTCTTAATATATTTTCAAATGTAGGTATACTGAAGAGGCTGAAGAACAACTTTGAAAAAAACCTCTAAACAATACACTAAATCCCCTTTTTAATTTTTTCCCCATTTTGCAACAGTATCTTTACTAGGTTTGGTTTGCAAACAAATAATAAAATTATTTGAAGAGACCAGTACAGCTTTTTCTTTAAGAGATTCTTCCCAGTCTAATGATAAATTTGAATGTACTTGGTTTTACGGAGTTTATATTCCCCTCTCCTTAGAGTCCATTCTAACTAAATTTTAAGTGAGAAGAAATGGAATGACATGACACAATATTACTTAATACCACTAGAGTAATAAGCTGGTATGCATTTACCAAGCTTAAACCTTTACTGAAGTACAGATAATGCAAGTGAGAAGGGTAATTTTTAAATTTATAATGTTAAGTATACTGAAGATTGGGGGGTGAGAGGGAGTTAAATGATAATGATTTTTTTTCTTTACTGTTTCTTTCTGAACATGCATCTAGTAAGAAACCCTCCCATAGCATCACAATATGAAATTTAAAAATGCAAGTAAGGCTTGGCTTGCATGTTTTTTTTAGGCTGAAGAAGCAGAGCGAGAAGAACGGAAAAAACTTGAGTCAAAAAGAGAGGAGGAAAGGCGGAAAGAAGAGGAGAGAATACGTCTCGAGGAAGAACGACAGGTGGGATTGGTTGTATTTTTAGATGGAAATTTTGAACCAAGTTTGTTGCTGAGATTGCTTCTCTGTAAGGTCTGTGATCAGCAGAACTCCCTTTGCTTTTCATTACTATTGCATACATTTTTTAATTTGTTTTTTTTGCTGCTCCATGTTGTTTGAATGAACAACAGTACTCCGTTATTTCAACTGTAGATCCCAGCTTTGTTCCCCCAAGTGCTTGGCAGAAGTGAAAACTGCTCCAAACCTCAACGCACACATGTAGCAGCAAGCACCCACCCACGGTTGAGTCTAGGGCAAAATGAAACCCAGTCTCTCCTGGTTGTGGATCTGCTACTGCTGTATGCCATAGTGACAGATTGCTTGGTCAATTTGTTACGCTGACAAACACAGCTGATAAAGTTGGCAGTTAGTTTGTCTGGGAGCTGTTTAAGTGCAGGTATATGAAGGAAGGAGCTGTACTGAGTCACAGGGGAAATTCTGGGGTGTTGCTTGCTTGATGTCTGACAGGAGAAGTTTGGTTATCACAGAACCATAATGTAGGTTGGAAGGTACCTCTGGAGACCATCTGGTCTGACCTTCTGCGCAAATCCTGTCCAGTTAGAGCAGGTTGCTCAGGACCTTGACCAGCCCAGCTTTGAGTGTCTCTTAATGAAGGAGATTTTGCAATCTCACCCAGTGCCACTGCCATTACGCCGGTTAGTGCTGCTTGCCCACCACCTGTAACCAGCAGGGCAGAAAGTGAAAGACATCAGCAACCGATTTTGCAACCGTTGCGTAAAATTACATTGCTTTATTCTAATTAGACAGATTTACATGTGCTTCACAATTAAAAGATCTCTCAACTATGCATACGAAGGTGTATGTTAGCAAGAGTGACCCAGAAAAACAGGTACTGTGCAACTGAAATGCTTTTGTTGAATACTTTTCATCAGTGAGGGAGACAAACTTATTTCAGAGCTGCTTTGCGTACTTCAGGTGTCACTGCTACTGGCCGAGAACTAGGAATGAGCTTTGTGCTCTCTGGTGCTTGAGCAAGTTGTGTGGTAGCTTTGCAGCGTGCTTCTGGAGGCAAGGACTGAGGTGTTCTGCACAGCCCTGTGCTGGATAATTGCCGTCCTGGTGGAGCATAGCTCCCAGCTTGCAGCGTGAACTTCCTGGGATACTTAAATGCGCGTGGAAATTGGTGTCTCTGGTTCGCAGTGAGCAGATTTATTTTAATTTGTTTCTAGCGTGGGTTGTGTAAGCAGAGTGTGTTGCTGATAACATTTTAAAAGAGGAAAAGACAGTGTTTCCTTTCCTCTGCTGAGGACATTGAAGGCAGCATAAAGCAACTTTTAAAAATGTTTTCCATACATTACATATGCAGATTTTATCTATGAGCTCTTTTGTAGAACCTACATTTACTTCTGGGGTTATCTCCCCCCAAAATACTTCATCTTCCAAACTCTCTGTTGTTTTCATCAGTAGAAGGCTCCGGAATTTCAGAAATTGAAATGGATGAGGAGAATGTCAACACTACAACATCAGGATATGTAGCATAGTCTGAGACTTTGACTTGTAAAGCAGCTTGAACAAACTGCCAGGGGACTGATTATTCCACAGTTGCCCTTCTGAGAAAGATGTGCAAATTTAGAAGTACCTGGTAGCGGTCAAAGCCTGAACCCTGAGGTTGAATAACTGATCTCAGCTAGTCCAAGCGACTCCTGTGCTTAGCCAAGGCATTTCTTAACAGCACAAGTATTGGACCTGGCTTCCTCTGGACCTGCCTACTGCTTTTCCTCTGCCGGCACACTGCAGCAGCACCAGCTTCTGCCTTGAGGTCCCTGCGACCACTCTGCTTTTCTCCTAAGTATTGACAGTCTCTCCCCCTTGTATTTCCAGCTCGGAAAGAGGCAAGCTGAGCTCTGACTGCCTCTAAAGCACGTGTCTAATGCCCATCCTGCTTGCCCTGGGGCTTGCCATAACAGATAACTCAGCCAGTTTCCCTCCAGCCGTGTATTCTAAGTGTTTTGTCTCCACCCAATTCCCTGATTTTTTTTCTGAAGGTTCTGGGACTTTAATATGCTTGAAACCCTGAAGAGTTGGTTGAAATGAACCAAAGGGCTCCAGTACTCAGAGGAATTAAGAAGGCACACAGGCTGGACACTAGCACTGTTTAAACATCATCGCCTTTAGAGGAGGCTAATGAACAGAATTTCAATTCTTTCCAGAGTGATAGCCAGCATGGCAGGTGAACTGTTAAGCAAATTGCAGTTGAATTTGGCCAAACTGCTCAGAAGAAGCTGCAGCCCAGGACAAAGCTTTTATCCTGTTAATTGCCTATGGGTTTGACATGGGGTTTAGCAGTGCAGCTGGCTAATCAGGACCAGTCAGGCAGGGTTGAAAAGTTGAGTAGAAAATAAGGGTGAAATTCTAACTAGAGGTCTCCTCACAAAGAAAGTGCTTATTAACATGTTTAACTTTTTTTTTTTTTTAATCCACTTCAGTTTAGGGCTGAGTAATTTATTTTGGTTATATGAGGAAAATCTTACTTGTTTTTATTTTTTCAATTTTCATAGTAAAGATTGCACTAAAACACTTCCACCTCTATTTTGCAAGGCTCAGGAAAAAAAGAGGAATATAAACTAAGGCTTTGGGTTTATATTTTATTTTTTAAATTTTGTGGTCAATAGTCCAAAGAAGTACTTACTAGAATTTTGAAAATGACTCACATGCCCAAATCTAGCTTGCTATTCACTTTTTAGCCAATACTTTCCTTGGCTACTTAAATTCTGTAATTTTATCCTTTTTTTTTTTTTTTTGGTTGGTTGGTTGGTTCATTGTTTGTTTTTCCTAGTAGTCTTTATCAGGGCAGCAAGCCAACCCACTGGGCTACATCACAAATGTTATTCTGCTACTCAGGGGAAAGCATTTTCAATATTTTATTTTTGGCTTGGGTTTAAGACGCGTTGATAATCCAGTAACTGCTGAACATTTTTAGTGTGGATCAAAGTAAAAGTGTCTGACAATATTTAATGTCCATCCTCAACTGTCTTCTAGTAATTTTAAGTATCTGTCTTTTTCTAGGTCTTTAACGGGAAACAGAACAATTCAAGATTTGTACATGTTTAGTCTGTGTTGCTCAAGTTCCTGCTTCAGTCAGCAAAGCAAGCGGTTTTACAGGGAGCATGGTAATAAAAAGGCTTCAGTGTTTTAGCCTTGACTGGGTGATAGGAGAGGAAACAAATTGAATTAATAGATACTTGATTACTGTGCATGAAGCATAGCCTGTCTTTATGATCATAATATCTTATCTTTCAAATCTTGTTACAGACTGATTGTGTGATGTAAAAGATACTGCCTCTCTCTTCTAGGCCCCTGTAAGCAGTAAAGGGATCATTGGATTTATTGTGTTTTTTATAGAATACATAGGATAAAATGTCATTTATATGTTCCTCTAGAGAAGGGATTCCTCACTTCCACAAGCAACATTTTGTCACGAGTAAGCCCATGTGGACTACACGTGTGGTGGTACTATTCCCCCATATAAATTAGGAGATGGAAAGGCAAAATTACGAAAGCTGGCTCAAATAGTGATTGATAGTCATGAGAGAAAAAACAGAGGGGGTAGCTGATTGTATGATTTTTGGAGGCAGTTTGATTACTGACATTTCTGTATTTTATATAATCCCATAAAGCACAGCAACTTTAGAATTTATCACTAAAGTTTGTCTGATAAATGTTAGGGTTGTCAGCTTCATTTTTTTCCCCGTTCATTTCCCAGTACATCAGAGTATTTCTGCAGGTATAGTGACAGTGGCAAATCTCCAAACAAGCACAGCAGGCTTCGTTAGCTAAATTTCGGTTTAACTTTTTTTTTTTTTTTTTTTTTTTTGCTTCAATCTCTCTCCCAAGAAGTGCTACCAGAATTGTGCTGACTTCTATGAACATTGAGATTGGCTTTGTGTGAAGAAGGAGAGTTTCCTCTCAGCATTTCAGCTACAGCCTTAAACTAACAGCTGAATCCTAGTGAACAGCAATCGGTGATTCCTGCACCATTAAAAACCATCTTAAAAGTTTGTCGGATAATGAGGGAAGCCAAATAGATTAGGAGGATATAAAATCATGTTGCAGCATGCAGATCTTCTAGAAATTCCCCAGTGTTGATATTTGATAAAGTGACTGGGGCTGTTAACCCTTTCACACATATACACCCCCCCACACTCAAGTAGTTTGAGATGCAGTCTAGTGGAAATAATTCTTGAGTCAGATGAAAACCCACTTTGTTTTATAAACAAATTAATATCTTCTTCCAATTATTTTGGGGCAACTGTACACAAAGCTGTATGACAAATGGGAACTGTACCTTCAAGGGAGTTACACCTTGCATATTCTTGAGAAAAATACCCCCCTGGTTCTATTTAAATATATTTGTATGCACATATAAATAAAATGTGGTTGCCCCTTGGCTCCAGTGTTGCAAACCAGATAATATATTTTTACATTCAAGTTTCCTTTCCAGTGTTCTGCTGACCTGATTGGCTATGCATGTGAGGAAGCTCCTTTATAATTGGCATTTGCTTCAGCTCTGCTTTACCCTGGGGATTTCCCTTTCACTCTTGGAGTTTTTTAGTGGTGAGATGGTTTACCAACCGACACCTTATCAATGAGAGCGAACTTCCTCTGATGTTGCAAAACAGTATCTTCATACAAAGCCTTGCAGATTGCTCACACAAGAGCTTTTTTTTTTTTTTTTTTCCTGTACACAGGGATTTTTGTAGGTTTTACTCCTTCAGCCTAATTTTGCCGTTCTAAGGAAAGTGCTCGTGCAGATGCAGGGCTCACAGCTATCACTCTTGTATACTAAAATACAGTGTTGAACAGGATGTGTTGCTGTAAATCCATTGTGGAGTGGGCAGCTCTGGAAACATAGCTTGGTACAGTAGAGAAAGTAGCAGTCTTGCAGCGAGCAAACTTTTAACTATTGTGAAACAAAAGGCCCCAGCAGGAGTGGAGACTGGTGTTTGTCCACTGTTAGATTAAAATGAGATGAGTGTTGCTCAAGCACAGTTGTGCCCAAAGTTTCCAAACTAGGGCAATTTCATTTAGGCTTTCAATTTTGCATTTAAGTGCCTAAAAAAAGAAAAAAATGGTTTGGATATTCAGAGCTACAGAAATGGAGGATCAGCTGGTGATCCCAAGGGTCCTGCTGAAGCTCTTGAGGACTAAGACCCTAAAGTTTTGACTATTTGATCACGTCAGAATAGGCACCAAGTTTTAAAATGTTGATTGTTGAGTTATTATGTGTAGCATTATGCGAACATCAAGATTTGTGTGCTTCTCAGCAGAGCTTTTCATTATTTGTTTGTCATTTATATCCACTGTTCATACATAACCAGTGCATTTCTGGAGGCTGATGGAGACTACAACATAGTTTCAGCTTAAGCATCAGTTTTCAAGTGTGTATACTTTCTTGAAAATTAATTTCTCCTAAGGCAGTACAAGTTGAAAAGCTTGCAGAAAACTCATTTGACTGATTTTGAGAGGATGAGGGCTGGTAAGAACACTTATTCTGTCATACTAAAGGTATTTTTTTATGTTGTGTCTCAACAGTGAGTGCGATAGAAATCCTAGAGATCTGTCTGCTCTATTCCAGATTATTTACTTGTAAAGTCCCTTTTCGCTTTCTGCAGAATCTGCACTAATGGCACAAAACCTAATGTTGTACAAGGAGGGTTTCTTTGGCCCATGAACCCCAAAGCATTTGGCATAGGATCCAGTATGCTTTTTCTCATTCTGCCTGTTAAGGAAACAGCCACAATCAAGGAACGACTGGTAGCAGGTGGCAGTTGAAGAGAGCCCAGTGTTTGCTCGACCTTCCTCGCTAGCAATGAGATCAATTCCACTTAAGAGCCGAATAAGAAGCCTATAAATGATTTGTTTGTCAGCAAGTTGGTCCTTTATCTGATTTGGAGGAGAGTTGGCACAGCACACAACTAGCAGTTTCCTCCCTGGGAAAGCCGCTTAGGCAAAGCTCTAGAAAAAGCTACTCTACAGGCTGATACCACTTAGTCTCAGTGTCACCTTAAATGGGTTATTGCACTGATATCTGGAAACGGTGGTTCAGTATCTTCTTGCTGGACAATACTGTAAGTGTCCTCACCCTTTGCTAAAAATAGTAATGCATGGGTAAACCTTCAAAGGCTGTAATTTGTCAACTAGCCAGAACAGTGCAGTTACTCAAGCAGCATCCCAGGACTCCAGAGAGATTTGTGATCCTGAGTCGTGATCTGTTGCCAGCTGTGAGTCTAAATGAGTTTTTGAGCTCTTGTGCAGTTGGCACAATTAATGTTTTTTGATGTCATGGAAATAATCGTTGCAATCAAGCTAAGAGGCAACCAGAAGGTAGAAAGGAGCCTCACAGCACATCCAGATCCTTGGTGGGATGGAGGGAGCCTGGAAGGCAGTAGAAATACTGGGACTGGGTGCAGTGGGAAATCGGTGCTGAGCAGGTCTGGTGTAGGACGGGGTCAGGGTGTTGGAAAGTGTCTCCCAGAGAGCTGGAGAACCACAGACTGCACGGAGCTCTGGAAGCTCTTGGGGCTCTGCTACACAAGGTGGCACGTGAGACTCATAGCAAGCATCCAGCAGTGATAATGTGGACGTTTTGTCAGAAAAAGGAGAGAGGGAAGAAAGGTTTGAATAATTAATTCTATTTTTTTTTTTTTCCCAATGAAAACATGATCAAAGTGGGAAAATTTGTCCTTCACCTGCAGTATAGTAAGCTGGTCAAAAAAAAAAATCTTTACACTGTAGCAAGCCCCCAGTTTTTAGGTAACATTTAGGTGGGTGAGAAGCAAACCTGCTTCAAAAAAAAAAAAAAAAGCCAACAAGCAGCTGAAGGTGTGCATCTGCAGTTACCAAATTTCCACGATGCTGGGATTTCCCCACCACCCCACCCATCGTTGAAGGGAGGTGGCCCAGCTATTATCTCTGCTCTGAGCCACATGCTTTACCACTTGACTCCACAGCAGTTAATGAGATCAGAATGCAGAGGGGCAAAGAAACCTAACAAAGATGTGGGGTTTTTAAATTTGTATTTGAGCTAAGTGCCCCCTGTATGAGTTGCTTGAAGCAAGTGCTGGGCTCTGTTTCATTAGCAGGCCCAGGGATGCTGCCTGTGTTTCTGTGTGGGGGTTGTGCATGCCGACAGAGTGTTTTTTGTGGGAATGCAACCTGCCTAAATTTGAACCTGCAGCTTCCATGCAACTGCTGGATGACTTGGGCACATGAAAGAAGAGTGCTGGTGTGATGGTGAAGAAAAAAATAGCTGAAAAAAAGTGTTAACAGACAGCATGACTTCTCTAGGGTTCCCCCTGCTCAGCTTCCACCTCTGTTGCTGGTTGTTTCTCCTAGGGCAGTTATGCAAAATCATCTCTCTTCTTGGCTTTGAACCAGTTTACAGTTTGGCTTAAATACTTATTTTTCTACAGCTTGAATCATAGGTGAATTTAGGTATAAAGCATGTGAGACTGTGCAGAAGTGACTGGGATTTTTAGTTATTGGATGAAAAATCTTCTGGAAATGCTTAGTGTTATGGAAGAGGCTACAACCACCAGGAAACATGAGGCTTTGAGGGCTGACATGCTTTAGCTCCCAAAGGAGTGCCTCAGACCACCTGGAAATGCTCTGCTGATCGTAGCATCAAAATTTAGGATCTGGAAAACAAACTCATGTTGGCTTTTAGGGGAGACCGCAGAAGAGCGACTGGCAGCTGAGCGCTTTGCCAGTCTCACAGCAGAGATGCTTTTCTGCATGTGTTAGAAATGGAAGTACTGATAGTAACATAGCTAGTATGCTTTAATAAAATTGAAGGTACTGTTCTTTCTTCAAGGAGGTAAGGAAGACAGGAATTAGGCTTGTTCGTTCATGTTGTTAGTTTTTCCAAAAATAGGAAAATGTTCCTTAGTTATTGTTGCTGTCAGTTGTAACCACAATGCTGTCTTCCGATTATTTTTTTTTTTAGAGAACCATCTAGAAATTTGCCAAAGCAATTTTCAGGTTTTGTGATTTATTTTTTTTTCCTCACTTCAAAGCCTGTTGAATTACAACCTCTGTAATAGACCAGGGGAAGAACCTTGGTCTTGCATTTCCAGGATCAAGATTAAATTTAATGCACTTACAAGAAAAGAACAATTGCTGTCACTTCCAAATGAAATATGGTTATATTGTTCTTGGCACCTGTAGCACTTGTAAGTTTAAAATCTACTGTTGGGCTTTTGCTAATAAACATTACAGGATGAATGACCCAGAAAATGGTCTTGTTTTGTCTCAAGAGCTTCCTCAGATCTGTAGGGGTTGGGTTTTTTTATGAGATACTGGTTAAAAAAATAGTTTTGACTTTGCACATACAGTAAGATCCTTTCAGTCCTTTTTTTCCCTCATACTTGCATGTTGGCAGCATTCCTTCTCATGACTCTCTGGGAGTTTGATTAAATACAGTTGGGACCAAATACAGTTTTTCTTTGGTTTTTATTGAAGGGCAGCCCTCCCATCCCCATTTCTGGTATCCTGCTTGTTTTGGCCTTGCATGACATCTTTTTTGATATGGACGTTTTTCTGTATATTTAATGATCTGTTCCTGTCTCCTCCTGTTTTTTGCTTTCCAGCCATTTAAGGAAGCAATTACTATATTAGTGTCGAAGATGTAGCATGGCAAGCATTTAGAAATCAATAGAATTATTCTTTAAGAGATCAATTCCTGTGCCTAATAGTAAAGGAATGTCTTGAGATTGTAATTGAAATTTGAAGAACTCGTCTTTCTAAGTTTTAATCAAGCCTTTGCAATGTGATAGCAACCAGAGGTCGGTCAAATTGGAATCTCATTGTACCAGGTGCTGTACAAATGTAAATTTCTCTGTGGAAGAAACCATTCTGTAAGGAAACGTTTTTCTTCTGTGTGAAGCTACATGTGTAAAGTGTTTTGGAGAAAAGCAAAACAAATTTTAAAGGACAATCACAGAAAGCTACAAATTTATGAGCCTCCAGTAAAACCCTGTTCTTATTTAAAACATTTTTAAGTAATCTATCACATTCCAAAACTTTTAATCACAGTTCTGCTGTGTGAATGTGCAGCTACTCTACGTTACATAACCTAATATGCATCACTGGTTTAGAGTTTTCTGGGTCAGAATTTATTATTATTTTTTTTAAGACTTTACCATTTCTTTCAGGGCAGGTAACAAAGTATTTTTATTGCAATTAACTAAAAGTAGAGTCTGAAGTTAACAATCAAACATGTGAAAAAACCCCTTTTTTTACTACAGTCATACCTTATCTCCTATGCCTAAAATACTTTATACAGTTCTTTACATTCCATATAGACATAGTTTGCTTGCATGTCATAAGAAAGAGATTTTACTTAACTCTTTTACAGGCCAGCTTCTTCTCACACACAGATGGACACCAGTGTAACTCCACTGCTCCTTGTGATCACTCCTAATCTACACTAGTGCATGTCAGAGCAGAATTGGGGCCAGTTACTGAAAATGTGGATGTTGCATCAAAGAACAGTTAGGGGCAGGGACTTCCTGTCACGGGATCTGCAGAAGAAACATATTCATGCAAATTAAGAAGCAGGTTGCTATATAAGAGCGGCTTTCTCCCCTGTGTCAGATCTGGTAAGAACCAGCCTAGGTGTATTGCATGCGAGCTTATGCTACCATGCGAGATGGTTACTACCTTAAGGGTGGCTTGTGAAATTAATGATGCCATCAGGGGAGAACTTAGACTCATTTTAGAAACTTGTCATCTGCTGGCTGTCCTAGTAAAACCAAACTGCAGATAAAGAAGATGCTACTTAAAACTAAACTTGATTTGGGGAGGAGAAAACTGACCACTTGTCCTCTTCTTTTGTCCAGGAAGAGGAAAGAAGGAAAGCAAAGGAAGAAGAGGAGAAGAGGGAGTATGAAGAGTACCTGAAGCTGAAGGAGAGTTTTGTAGTTGAAGAGGAAGGGGTTGAAGAATCAATGACAGAGGAAGAGGTATGTATGTTAGGCTGTTACTGCAGCTTCCTTTATCTTTGTTAGACTCGGGCTGCCCTTACTGCATTCTGTCTCATGTAAAATGGACTGGAAAGTAGGAGTCAGCCAAATGTTTTTGCTTGTAAAAGCTAAATTGTGTATATGGCACAGGTTAATCTGGAGTATTTTCTGAGGAAAGCTGCAGTTCCTCATACCAGCCTCCTACGAGTTAGTTTAGAGTGCTAATGCTTATCTCTGGAAATTAGTTCTCTCCTCCCCTAATCTAAGGACTGAAATAAAATTCATTCTGGAATTCAGATAATCTTTTACTGTTGTCAGCTCTGCCCTAACTAGATACAGTAGACCAGATGAAAGTAAGGCTTTGTTTGGAGTTTGGTAGTGCCCACGTATCTTGGGGGATTGCTTGGTTTTGGCTTTATTTTCTAGACCAACGGAGCTGCTGTGAAATCAAATCAAAAACCAACTTCTTGTCTTAAAAGGTTTCTGTTAAGAAAATTCACAGGACGCAACCTGGGTGCCTTGTGGGTTGTATGCTGGAAAAGTGCATTCAGTGTTGCAAATGATTGCTCCTGTTGCTAGTATTTCAAACTTGTGCATAATGTTCTAGCATGCTCCTCCTTTGGCTGCCTTGCAGACGTGCTGCTGGTGATGGTGGTTGAAATGTGATACTTGACATAATATCACAGCAAACTTGAAAAAGTTCCGCTGTTGTGGGAGGCAGTGTTCTTATTCTGTCTGCTGAAAACCTGTTAGACTCATTTTAATTGCCATCAAATGGTGAAACTGTTCTTAGCTTGTAGCTGCCAAATTTGAGCTGTCCAGTGCATTTGATGATATCTTCTGTCAAGGCCATGTGTGCATTTGTTCCTCTGCTAAAGTCACCCTGTTGAATGGATCTGCCTTTAGTGTGACTGAGTGGCTTTGGGCTGAGGAGCTTGTAATGGGTCAATATTGCTTGACATTAGTCACAGGTTCTCACTATGGACCCTTTCTATTAAGATAAATTCCTCTGTCATGTCGGATTAATTCCAAGAGAAGTTGTATCTGGTGATGGGGAGTTTCCTAAGATGCAGAGAACAGCAAAATGCATACTTGCTAATGAAAGTTCCTTCAAAAATGTGTACCTATCCTGTTAGAAGATCAGATTATATCTAAATTTTAAATTTCTCCACTTTAGACACCCTTTAAAGCCAGAATGTGTGTGCTTGTGTTCCTGTAGCTGCCTGTGAAGGAGAAACTAATTGGAAGATTAATATGTGGGAACAGAGAAGGGTGTTGCACACTCAGAAGAGCTTGGCAGACAGTTGATGATACCTGGATCTCACCATAAGATATCTTTGGTGTAGGGGTGGGGGTTAGAACTTTAATAGGAGGCAATTTGAAAGTCATCTTCAGAAACAATCACAGGTACATAGTTATGTGGAGACACCAGCCTTGCAGAAATGGGAAGCCACCCTTCTGCCCTGTGGGGGTGATGCACCGAAGCCTTTCAGTGTCCTCTTACAATAGCTGACTCTGCCCGGTGGTGGTGAGGCTAGCGTGCTGAAACTCGTGCTGAAAATGAAGGTCCTGAGTCCAGAGCTAAGCAGTTAATTAAGGTTGATTGATTTCCAGGGTTGTGGAGTAACCTGATCTCCTGTTAACTTAAATGCACATTGTTTGCATTGCCTTTGAAAATTGAGCTGCTTAGATTAAAATGCCCGGATTTCAGGTGCATAGCTTTGAAAACGGCTCCGGCTTCCACATGTGTTGCACAGCTGTGTGCTACACTTGACCATCTGCATGAGCTGTCTTCTGAATCACTCTGTGCTTTACCTCTACACAAAATGTCCTCAGTGTGTATATGTAACTTAATACACAGTGCACAAGCTCATCCAGATGTGGTTATTTCAGGGTATGTATGATGTGGAGCATAAAAGAGTCAAAGATTTCCTTTCAGAAAAGCACTTAAACACAAATCGTACTTGAGCCATTCTGTCTTAGAAAATACCTAATAAATTCCTAGTTAAGATTAAATCTAGATATATCTTTTTCCCGTTCAAAATCTCCCTCAGTGTGTACTTTTAAAACTCCAGAGGTATGCAAGCTCAACGCTGTTATAATATTTGTACCCTGCAAGTTTGTGATGCATTTAATGTTCGTGAGTTTAAAATAACCTTTGTTTTCCTTGCTGTATTCAGTCTCGCAGCTTTCTAATGGAATTTCTTGAATATGTTAAGGTAAGCGACCTTTGGTCTTTCTCCTCCTTCCATACTTGTCAAATTGTGTAAAGTACCTTTGTCTAAGAGCTGAGTTGCAGAAAGAAGGGAAATCTTTACTTCCTCTTTGCTTTACTTAAATATTCAACAAGTATCAAAAGTGATACCTTAGATAAAGTCTGCATTATTTACTTAACCATGCTTAAGCATGTCCATCATTGTTAAAATGGCTTGTAATTATAGCTGTGTTTTGGCTTTAGGGGGCAGGATTGTGGTTCTTCTTTCATAAGCACATGGGCGTTATAAACTCTGCCTGGTGGATGCCCTCAGAGTTTATGAACAGCGATGTTTGCTGTTGATTGGGATTTGGGACATTCAGACTTTTTGTTTGTGAACATCAGCTACTGATTTAGAAAACAATCTCTACATCTCAGCTCAGCATGAATGAGAATTGCTGTACCAGCATGTGGCCTGCCATGCAGGATGTGTTTGTGCCTGAAACACTGGCATTGTTAAAGGTCAATCCAACTTTTCATGTAATTTCTTTTCTTGTTTTTGTGTGTGCAATTTGCGATGTTGTCTTAATGTTTGGAGGGGATATTTACAAAGAAGCTCACATGTTTTTAACAGGGTGTATTAGTCTCCCTTTCCTCATATTGTATGGTTGGTTATTTAGAATCTGTGGTGTGTTCATGAGGATTTCCACTTCTGATCTGTAAGGACGAATGCTTCTTTCTCCACTGTTGGTATATCAAAGGTCAAATGCATTTTTCTACTCTAACAATGTTATGCAAATCTTTTGCCCTGATGAATCCCTTTCCTCCTTTACTGGAAGCTTGTCTCTTATCTGCCAATGTATGGCATGTGTGTGAAAGGCTTCATTAGTAAGCAAATCGCTTGTGTACTTAGTAAAATCCCAATCGTTTTGTTAATCCAGAATCTCACACTCCGGGCCAGTTTTGCACGCCCATGATCCCAGCAGAACCCCAGACTTCATTTGTGTGATGAGTAGCTCTCCGTCAGGAGTCGATTTGAGTGATTGCCATGCAGGTCTGAACCACGGCTCCATCGTTGCAGGCTGGCTGCAGAGCTCGGGCACAAGCGTCGTGTCGTGCCGCCCGTGTCACCGGCTCTTCTGCTGGTGTGTCCCGTCGCCAGCGGGCCACAGGGAGAGGGGCTGCTAGGTTTGCATCTAAGTGCTTTCTGAGCAACGTGATCTCTGGAGGTGATCTGGAAGCGTCTAAGCTAGTAGCACTCAGAGTTAAGACATAGCTTCGCTGCAGAAGCCCGAATGAAAATAGCCCCCTCTTCAGCCCCCAAGCTCCCCAGTATAAGCCAGTCGGCTCTGATCAGAAGCACCATCAAAAGCGGATGAGACAGCTGAGAATAGATTGGAAAAGCTACGGGTGACGTGTTTAAAGGGCTGAAGTAAAACCATGGAGTGAAGATGAACCTTCAGACGGCGCATTTCATTTGGCAGCCATGCAGCGATTTCAATATTCTGTTTTCCACAGAAGCCAGAGAGATTTCTTTGAAAGGCAGGGGAGTTTTGAAATGGCCACAACTGTTAAGACCACCCTCTGTTTCAGTCGCTATCCATGGAAACGGATTGCATGGGATGGTGTGATCCCAGTTCAGCCGTTCCCATCTAAGGCTTTCAAGATATAGCCAAGCTGTGAATTAAGGAAGAGGTGCTGTTCTTTATCCTAGGGCAGCTTGTTTATCAATAGCAGCAGGTAGAATGATAGGATATTTCACTGTCCTTTGGGACCTTCCACTAAAATTGGGAGGGTTTCCAAGGGGTAACGCAGTGGGGTCCAACAGATGTGGTGGCTGGAACAGATTAGTCACAAACTCTCAGTTCAGTGTTTTAAGCACATATGTATAGTTTTATATTAGTCACTTCTACTTGACGTCACAGGAATTAAGCACAGGCTGAAAACCTAATTCAGAAGCTCTTCAACACCTGATTTCCTATGTAGAGATGAGTTGCAGAACTGGGACGTTGCTTTCTTCTACAAGTTTTAGTTTGTTTTGTTTTGTTTTTTTTTAATCTTGAAAGTGTACTTAATATATAGATTATGTATTGCCCTTATCTTCTGTTCTATCCACAGAAAGCATTGACTTATATCAAGAAGCAGTGCTAAGATGCTAGTAGCTGTCTGAAAAACATATAAATTAAAAGAGAATTGGCATTTTTTTAAAAATAAAATTTCATTCAGCTCTTCTGTTGAATAACTTAATATATTGGTATCACTGACTGGAGATAACTCACCCCATGCTTCATTCCTAAGGGTGTTTGAAGTAAAATGCAGCCTCATTTCTACAGCTCTGCCTCATGGGATTGTTTTAAATGGGATTTTTCTTAAAGGCACTAATGGGATTGATGCTCTCCAATTCTGCTTTTCTGAAAGCTGAGCGTCTCCCTTCCTTTGGAGCTTTCACAGTAGCCCCCCAACCTCTGTCTGCTGCCGTGTCACCGCCTCACACCCCAGGCCATGGCATTGCCTCTGCTGCAGGAGCCAGTCCTCAAGTTACAGACTTGCCTGCTCTGCTCTTAGAGGGGCAGAATAACCAATTCTGAAGGGGAGCCTTATGGTTTTACTTAGCGGTGCTTGTAGCTGCACGGCATACCTCACAAACCAGCTCTGTGGGCTCTCCGAGCGCTCCGGAAAATTAATAACGAAGTGGGCAGAGGTTAAAGAGTGGCTGAGCGGTTCCCTCGCTGTGGAGCACCAGCTCTGTTGGCCCAGGGAATTATGAGCCTGTACTTTGTCCAGCAAACTATTCTCACCCGGCTTAGCAGTTTATCACTGAATGCATCTGAATTACAGCCAGTGAACTGAAACAGCAAACAACATCCAAAAGGGATAGAGCGAAGGACTTGGAGGCTTTACCCCTTCCTGGTTTGTTTTGTTTTGTTTAGTGTTTTGGGTTTTTTTTTTTTCAAGAAGAATGGCACTTAAAAGATAAGGAAAAAAAACATCCTACTCATCTTAATCCTGAGAGCTCTTGCTCTGTTTCATCCCTTGCTGAGGACAGCGGCAGAATCATACCTAAAATTAAATTAATACAGTAAAACGTGGATATATGTATGTTGCTCTGTCAAAGTTAAGCCTGTCTCTAAAACGTGAAGCATGTGGTGACGTGTTTTGTTCGCTTGGGACCTCACAATGTCATTATATTTAGGAGTGTGTGTGTGGGAAATGCATCCTAATTCCACCCCACCCTCTGGGCTCTTATTCACAGCAGGATCTATCTTGGAAAACTTCCACTAAACTTGGTCACTGAGAGTGAATATCTTTAAGTGAAGGTTTAAATCCTGTTTTTCTTGTTTATGTGGCTTTGCACTCCCCCCCCCCCCCCCCCCCCCCCCATCCTTTTAAAAGAAGATGTGACGAATCTTGGCAGTTCCCAGCTCTGAGAACTGAATTCCATGGACTGGTTCCAGTTCCATGCATTCAGTCCATGGTATTCAGTTCTCTAGCTTGGCTGCATCAAACTTCACAACTACTAGGTCTGTGTGTGGCTTTTTTTTTTTTGTCTGATTAATTAATGAAAAAGATTCATCTATTTCAGCCTCTCTTTGTTTCTTCAGTGTCCTTCCAGTGTACTTTCAAGATCAGAAACAAATGCATTTATCATTTGAAGTATTGCATCTGATAAAGTATGGCCGTACATATATGGCTCTTAGGAATGTGGTCCAGAATGTTAACTCAACAGTTTTCAAAAGTTTTATGTGTTCCAAATTCCTTATAAGCAGTGCATCATTTTACTGCATCTGAACAGATGAGCTTCTAAAACTTTTGCAGATAAGAAAACAGGAACCAAGTAGCTCCAGATGAGTTCACCAGGTGTTTTCTTTGTAATTCTCTGGAGCTACAGAAGCAGCATAAAACCAGATGTGAGCAGTGGTGACTGCGTCCTGACTGAGAAAGGCTGCAGTAAGAATCTCCTTCAAAGGCAAAACGAAAATTTGCAGATCCTCCTTCTGCCTTTGTTCTCAGAGCTCATCGCTCTGCCTGTGCAGGAGTGCACTAGCAGTACTCTTCCAGCACTGACAATTTTAATCAGGTGTTCGCTTGCTTAGGAAGATTATTATGGCATTAATACACATGACATTAATAAAACAGACTAAAGCACTTAATGCTGCCAGCCTTGTCTGGGTTTCTGTGTATGCATTGATACATACCACTGATCATTTCAAAATGAAATATCTCTCAAACGAAAAAGGGATTTTGCCTATCGCATACAGGAAATTAAAGGTAGCAGTTGAGAAGCTGAGGTGGCAGGGAGGACAGAGCCATGGCTGTTCATTGTGCTTGTGCTCATCCTGTCCCCCTAACATAAGGAAAGGCTCAGGATAAATGCTGGCAAACGTATTTGAGTCTTCCCTTAAGTGGGTCAGAGCATCCAGTCTTTCCACACAGCAGACTGGCTTCAGTAACTTCAGTTAGAGCTTTTCAAATGACAGGTTCTACTTTGTCTATTAAATGCATTTTTTATTTGAAAGATAAAGAAATAGGCTAACCCTTTAATTCATCAACTCCATGTGACTCTTGTTTGTTTCCATAGAAAACAAAGGTAATCCAGCTGGAGGACTTGGCTTCACATTTGGGTTTAAGAACACAGGTAAGTACTAACTTTTGGGGCTCAAGTATAAGCAATGAGTTTAAAAGGACAGGAAAGTGGGTAAATAAGGATAATATCGATGCAAGTGGAGTCGGCATTTCTGAAAATGCTTGAATTTTGGTGAAGATCAGCAAAGTCAGCCCTAAAAATGTGGCCATTCATCAAAGTGCCAGCTAGCCAGTGAAGGATTGTTGGCTTACAAGATTGTTTCAGTGAAAAGTGCTCAGTCTGCCTCTTGCACAGCTGCCTGTTGGCTAATGGATCCTGTAGTGTTTGCTAATGTAGTAATAGAGCAATTTGGGGTACTTGGGAATCAAAAGTAGAGCTAGAAGTAAATTCAGACACTGCCTACATAATTGGACAATGTTGTTATGTTTGCAAACAATCAATAGATGAGGTGTTTTGTTCCAATTGCTTGTGTCTTCTTAAAACATTTAAGAACTTGCATCTTCCAGTGCAGCATTTAAGAAAATTGTCCTGCTCAGTACCATATAGGTCTGTCAGTGAGCTCATGGTGTGATATCAGTACTTTTTTTTTTTTTTTTTTCACCCTCTGTATTTCTAAGTGACCAGTGTTTTCTGTTGTTCTGTACCTAATCTGATCTTGGGGTGCCCTTTCACAGCACTTTACACTGCTGTAAATCCAAGCTGCTGTGCCCCTGCCTCTCGTAAAGCAGAACTTCATTTAAGCATGCAGGGAATTTATCTGGTTGAAATCTAAACTATAATTTCCTTCTGCCATCACATAAATACAAGAAAGGGAGAGAGGCAGAACTGGAAACCAAGGCTTAAATACCAACTTAAGGTGTAATGGAACCGCATGCTTGAAGTAATTATAGAGTTAATCCAGCAATAAATTCAACAGGCTACTGCTTTGGATTGGTAAAAGAGGTTTCCTCTTAAATGGAGCGTGAAAAAAAATAGAAAAAGCTCTGGAATGTACTGAGTGTAGCCAGGTTCTCGGAGAAGTACCTCAGTGTACTTTGTGGAACTTGCATGTTGCACTGGCACTATACAGCCTTTCCCTGGGAAGACTTCTGTAACTCCTCCCTGTTCCTTGAAACAGCCGGGTAACTTAGCAATAAAAGTCTCTTTTTTGGGGGTAGGGAAGTTATTTGAACACCCCAAAACGCAGAGGCTTATGTCATCCTTCCTAAGACCGAAGGGCTTATTGCATCTGTCTCTGTGTGGAAATACTGATGCATATCCTTTGCTGAAGTCTTTAACACTGAGGAATTAAATCTAAGCCTCCATCTGTAGTTTTTCTGAACATGTGAAATGTTTTTTGCTTCCCTCTTGATCGGTTCGTTATTTCTTTTTCTCTTCTGAACAGGATGCAATTAACAGAATCCAGGACCTGATGGCAGATGGCACTCTAACAGGTGACAGCCAAAACACAAAGGGGGCTTTATTGTAGCTGGTGAATAGTTGGTGCAGAAAATGCCTTCACTATGGTAGAGAGAAGCTTCCACTGTAATTTCTTTTTTAAACTGTAGAGGATCCTAGTAGGACTTGATAAGTAGATGTTTTTATTATCCCTGCTTTGGCCATGAAACTACCATTTAAAGCACTCTGGGCTGTGACTGCTCCTATGATACGTTACGCAGAGGTTGGGGGTGAATGTCCCCAACAGTTCAGGAACCAGCACGAGGCTTCTCCGTGTTGAGCGAGCCCTGCTGAAAGCTTTCAGGGGTTGCCAAGCCGCCAGCTGCAAATGGTGTCTGATGCAATCCGAATTTGAAAGAATCACTTGAATGTTTCGGGGTAGTTTGCAGCCCCATCGTCGTGGCTATAACCAGGGCTGGGGTACGGCCTGGGTGGGAGAAGCAAACATCCCAGAGCACTCCGGGATGCTGGAATAAGTGAAGTGCTTGTTCCTAGCCATGTACCCAGGCAGTCGGAGCTGCAGTGTAAGCAGAGACTGAGCGTGTGGGTGGCTCCCTGTCTGAACAAGTCTGTTTTATCGCTGGGCAGCCTTTTCCTTTCCAAAGATGAAGCAGGGGAAGGTGCCAACGCAAACATTGGTTGACCTGATCCTGTGGTCATGGCTGGGAAACAGCTATCTTGGTGGGTATGTGTGGATACCCATTTGAATGACCTAAAAGTGCTCTGAAACAAAGCGTGAGGATATGTACTGTCCCGCCTGTGTCTGTGGCCTAAAAAGCACGCCAGCGCGGCGCTCCGCCTCGCGTCTGATCCTGTAATGCATTAAGAACAGAGAGATCTAATCTCGTTCTCGTTTGAGCAATTGAAATATGGAAATTGAGCTTCATTCCCTTTTAGAGGGTAAGTTGGAACGGCTGAGCTGGGCCCCACAGGGCCTCCCAGTCACCTCCTGGCCCCTCCTGCGGCTCTGCCTGCCTGCACCAGCTTCCCCGGGCCCAGAACATCGGCTCCAAAACTCCGTACCTGAAGTCGCTGCTGTGGTACTCCCAGCTAGCTGCCCGCAATGAAAAGAATGTGTTACTTTGAGCAAAATTAGTCTTACCAAGGCACTCGGCTATTGTCGTAGCCCTGCTCAAAGCCTCAACAGTAGAGAGGAGATAAAAGCCTGACTGCTAGCACGTTCTGCTGCCTGCCCTGGATAGGAAATGCAGCCTCAGCAGTTTGAATATCCCTTCCAAAAGAAGTGACTGATGTCTGTCGGGAAGTGAGAAGAGCCAGAGTGCTGACTTCAAGGTCCTTTCTTTCCCCTGCAGGTGTGATTGATGACAGAGGAAAGTTCATCTACATCACTCCAGAGGAGATGGCTGCCGTGGCTCAGTATATCAAACAGCGAGGACGAGTCTCCATCGCAGAGCTGGCCCAAGCAAGCAATTCCCTGATCAACCTCCAGCCTGACAGCCGAGCTGCTGCTCCGACTGTGGCGTGAAACTGTGGCCTGAGAAGAATCAAGCAGGGGGTTTAACCTTTTCATGAATAAGCAACGTGATTAAAAACAAACGAGCGCCCCTCTAGTCCATTCACGGGGCTTGAAGACGGTAGGATGCTCTTTTTAAGCATTAGCTGCAAGACTTGATTGAAAGTTTGGCTCCTGATTCTGTTCGAGCTGATGTAAAATAGGACAGTCTTTTCTACAACAGAGGCTAGCCAAGAACTTGGGGCTAAAACGCTCTGATGCCCTTGTACCCCAGGAACATCAGTAATTTTTATATGGTTACTCTATCATGGCAGTCAGTCTCATGTGACTATACCCAAACTTTTAATTGTTTCCAGATTCTGATGTTTGTGTCAAATATATTTGGTTCTCATTGTATTTGGGATCCTCCAGACTTGCTCTGCACTTATGGACCTGTGTAACTTTGTGGCAATGATGTATACAGCCCAGAATAATAGGCGTGTAGGGATGAGGCTTGCAGATTATGTCTTCAGGATCAACACTGGAAGGCTAGAGTAAAAAAATACTGCAAGTGTGTCTTTGTTCTTAATGAAATATATACTGAAACTCTAGAAAGAGTGCTTGCTATGTTGTGAGAACTTCCAGAGGTTATTTCAGATAAACCTTTGCTATATAAATATGTTTTGTTTGGTTTATATTATGTAAAAAGTTCGCTTGCAGCAAAGCTGCGTTATTTTTCTGTAGCCAAGAGACAGAAATACCTCCAGGGAAAGGCTAGCTCGCCTCGTTTATTGTGCAGGCCAATTCTACTGATACCAACCAGATTCTGATGATTCATCCTTTGAAGTAAGAGCCAGCTCAGTGCGTCTGAAGGCCCCAGACACCACCCCCACCCCATGGCCTTTGTGTTCTGCATGTTTGGGGGTTTTTAAATACAAAATTCAGGCACTATGAGTCATGCAATTAATGTTACAAGTAAATGATTAATAATATGTTACTTGTAGGGGTCGGTATATTTCCTGCATAAGAATATTTATTTTTTTTAATAGCCTAATTGATGCTTTGTTAATTCTCCTTTCTGAAATCAACAGAATCTGTGTGGATAGACAGTAATTGGGGAGGGCGAGAGGGGCTGGCTTTGTCTCTGCCAAACTTGGAGATTTTGAGTAGACTAAAAGCTACGTTATCAGTGAGATGAGATGAGATAGCAATAAAGCAACAGAAGGGAAGCATATTTCCCTTTTAATCTCTGCACTGCTGCTGAATGTGATACTCTGCAGGAGTGCTGAGGCCGAGTTACAGTGCAGCACCACGCGTTGATGTGGAAGGTTGGTTCATCACTACTGTGGTACATGATAACCAGCAGAGAGATTACTTGAGATTTGATGCTTGTAAGGTCTCTTAATTATTCAAAATTTGATTTTACCATGATTTCTTCTTCTGTCCTAAACTATTCTTGTAATAAACAATATTGAAAAAACTGCAGAGATTTGCATTAGAGAGTTTGGGGTTTTTCTCCAATGTGTTTAAGGGATTTTATGAGCTAAAGGAGCCAGCCAGCAACACCACAGCCTCCCGTGTGCCCGTCAAAGACCAGAGGTATTCCATTAAACCCACAGATATCACTCCAAAGGTGTCATGGTTTGGGCCTGGTCAGCAGCCAACCACCACGCAGCAGCTCTCTCTCCCTTCCCCTCCGGCAATGAGAAGGGACAGAGAGCCAGGCTTGGGGTTCAAGATAGGACTGGGATGGGGAAAAATTCCCCTTTATGATCACGAGCAAAAGGCAGACTCGTTAGGGGAAGAAAAAAAGAACATACATTTATTACAGACACTAACAACACATAACAGAGTAGGACAGTGAGAAGCATTGCCACATCTTGAGAACACCTTCCCCCCACCCCTCCCTTCTTCCCGGGCTCAGCTCTGCTCCCGATATCTCTACCTCCTCCCCCAGTGGCGCAGGGGCAGGGAATGGGGGGTGCAGTCAGTGCTGCCACTTCCTTCATGTTCGGTGAGGGGAGTGTCCGGAACTTGTTCCTCCTGCTCCATCGTGGTCCCCCTCTCACAGGAGACAGTCCTCCACCAACCCTCTCCGATGTGAGTCCCTCCCACGGGCCGCAGCGTTCCCCACACTGCTCCGTCATGGGTCAGTAACTTCCTCCGACTGGATTCCCTCCCACGGCTGCAGCCCTTCCCGAGCTGCTCCGGCGTGGGACACCCCCGCATGCTGCAATCCTCCCAGCACTGAATTACAGCAGTGGGGCTGCCTTTTCCCATGAGACCCCGGCCTTCTTCGGGCACAGAACCTTGATCATCTGAGCAGGAGCAACAGGCCATAAATCAGTGTCTGCTCCACCACAGATCTCCATGGGTGGCGGGGGGGGCCGCCCTGCCGTCTCCCCACAGGATACAGGGGGGTCTCTGCTCCGGCACACCTCCCCCCTCCTTTCTTCCTCCGTTCCTCCACTGACCTTGGTGTTCATGCAGCTGCAGCAACTCCTCCTCACCAGTCCCACTGCCCGTCACCACGTCCCTTCTTAAATACGTTATCGCAGAGGCGCAGCCGATGGGCTCAATTTCCCAAACAGAAGTGGAGCTGACGTGGAGCTGGGGGAGCTTCGAGAAGCTTCTCACAGGGGGCCGCCCCGATAGCCCCCTCCCCTGCCACCAAAAAACTCCACCACTCACTCAACCCAGGACATTAGGACACTTCATTTCTGTGAACGTGACAAACAACACCGTGTCCACTGTGCAGTGCACGCTTGCTTCTGCTCTGCTGGTATAACTGCACCAGCTAAGCTGCCCTGCCGCTGCAGCAAGGGCCAGCTGCCTGCTGAGAAGGGTGTGCAGTCTCCTTCCGCGCACCTCTCTGTCCTGGCTCGGGCAAGATCTGTGTCTCGTAATGCAAAAATAATTCAGACCATTTCATTCGTGGAGTTTCACGGGGCTGTGCCAAAGCTGAAAGGGTTGTTTGTGAGTCACCGGCAGGTCGCGGAGAAGATGGATTATAAACTGCAGTTTAAAGGAGGTGCCAGGCAGAAGAAGGTGAGAGCGAAGTATTTATTACGAGCCAAATTCATGGTCTGTTAGAGGTCTCTGACAATAGCAGGCGCCTCGGAAGTGTCACCTGCCAGAGCTCCTGTTTCAAGCTCTGAAGGAATGTTTCCATATGAAGGGCCAGACTGAGCCCTTTCGCGTGAGAGGTGGGCCACCAAACAAGTTCTGTAGATCTTTCTGCATGTTGTCTGTCATGGTGGGAGACCAGATTTAACTTGGGGGTCCCCCCTAGTACCAAGCTCATACCTAATGCTGGGGTCTGGGGGTCTGTGCTTGTTTTTATCCACCATTCTCTACTGGGGATTCCCAATATTGCATTTTGGCCTTGACCCTGGCCATGCTGTTCCTCAGGTTGTGGAGTTGTTTTGTGGAAACTGGAGCACAGGTCTGGTGAGGGTCTTCAGAAGAGCTGTCACAGAATCACAACATAGTTTGGGCTGGAAGGGACTTTAAAGATCCTCCCAAGGTCAATCCTCCCAAGCCCCACAGTCCCTGATTTACCTAAGCCATGATACAAGGCGAGTTCAGGAAATTATGTATTTCCAGCAGCCTCATTTCTCTGGGACAGGCACTCACTGTTTGCCAAAAGCTTTGACTAACTGGGATTCTGACAAAATTTCATCAGTTTCCAAGCTACTGAGAAAGATTTAGACCAGGTCTATACAAGAGAAGGTGTGAGAGAAATGTGTTGGAAAATGTAATTATTATCAGCAAAGACTACTTTTAACACAAAGTCCTTGGCAGCATACACTCTTGCATTGGCACAACCGTGTTTCTACTAGAGGGGTTTTGGTTTTTTTCTCTTAAAAATTTGTCAAAGCTACCCCTCCCTCAAGAGGAAAATAAAAACAAAAAACCCCCAAGCACCCCAAATACTGGAAATTGTTGTTACACTGACAAAGAATCACAGAATGGTTTGGGTTGGAAGGCACCTCAAAGATCACCCAGTGCCACCCCCCTGCCCCGGGCAGGGCCCCCTTCCCCCAGCCCAGGGGGCTCCCAGCCCCGTCCAACCTGGCCTTGACCGCATTTTAGTCTCAGGTGTAACATCAGGCAGGCCTAGATGTGACCGTGCAGCTCTGCCAGCAGCTGATCTCTCCGTTTTAATCCTCTCCCACCGCTCCCGTTCCTGTGCTTTGCACCCTGTTGCATCGCGTCAGCGTTCGCCCGTCGTTTTGGGGCGCTTTGTGATCCTCACTGCACGTGACTGGGGAGGCCAGCCGCTGGCATGAGCCAAGGGAAAAAAAATCTAGGCAACAACAAGTATACAGGGGCTTCTGACTCTTCAGAAAACTTACATGGAAGGAAGCTGTGCTCTGCCTTGAAATTGTTTTGTTTGTTCAGGTTTGCTAGATTGCCGGCAGGAGGTAAGGACGGGGCTCTGACCCACAGGTCCCGCTCAGCCCTGTGCCTCGGGGAACAGCCTCTGCTCTTAAATCATAACTGATTATTAAAGAGCGTTATGATATCTTCTGGGAATCCAGTTACAAAGGCTGAGGAGACAGTTTAAAATCTTGAATACAATTACTTCAGGCCATTTGGTTGGTGGGTTTAGAAATGAAGCAATTCAGACCGATGCTGCTGCTTAAATCCGCGTTCACGGCTTTTTCTGTGGAAGCAGAGGGGAAAGAAGTTAAGGGCTGTGCCCCCAAAATCATTTCAGTGTCAGAATTCATAAATCATGTGAGAACATTTCATATATCCCATGAGAAGAGACACCTCACGGGAAGACAGTTGTCCCCGCTGGCACTAAATTAGGGGACACCCCTGGGTGTCGTGGCCAAGACGAGGGGTGTCCCCACTGTCTGGGGTGAGGATGGAGGCTGAGGATGCTGATGGAGAGGGGGGGATGCTCCATCAGCTCTCCTCTCCTCCTTCCCTGGCATTTAAACCCGGCCCTGACCCTCCCTTGCGGGAACCACGGTCCTGCAGGATGGTACAAGATTTGCCCGATTCATCCAGAGCCCCCATCCACCCCACGTGCTTATGGAAAGTTTTACAGGGACAAGCACAAAACCCAGCCACCACGTTCATCTGTGTCAGTGTGGTCCTTTCCGTCACGCCCTGCACAGTTAGCGGGGAAAATACAGGGCAATAAAATACTGATAAAATAGTAAATACAGTCAAATAGTAAAATACTGGGATACGCTGTAGATTTTGGGTGTTCTGAATTTGTAAACATTTAAAAGCTCTTCAGTGACCACTTTCTTGGAGTATGTCCCATTTTAAAAATGTAAACACGTACCCAAGTTTCTCACGGATATTTTTGCAAGTGAGTGTTGGCCTTTTATAGCTTATGACTAAGAACCAGGGTACGGTGCTCAGCAAAGCCCTACCCAGGCTCTTCACTTGGGGATGATCTGTATGCAAATCCCTCATCAAAATTAGATTTGGGCAAGGACACCTACTCCCGCTACCCCTCTGTGTTAGAGGCAGGACGGTTTCAATGTTTTGCTTCCTGCTGCTTTGTCCAATCTACATTTATAATTTTAAAAAAGCTGGAACATCCATTTGGCTTTACAAAAAAAAAAAAAAAAATCCCTATTTTCTGTTAAACTTTGCCCATGCATTATGCAGCATTTATCACTGTGTTTTTCCTCTGAACTAGCACAAGAGCTCTCAGGTACTCTGGTTGTACATGGAAGGAATAATAATCATAATTACTAGCTCATTTAAGCGAGCTTGTCCTAATTTTGCCATTCTACCCGAAGGCAAAGGCTAAAACAATTAGATTGAAAACCTTGACTTCATATTACACAAGGTGAGATCTAATCAAGGAAAACTCCAGCTTTTTCAATGGAAGAATATAGTCCGTGTGAAGCAATTACAGGTTATAAAAATGTAAAAAGCAACAAATGTCACAACTTCTCATTTTCTTTGTTTGTGATATGAGTTTTAGAACCCATCAGCCTCATGGTTTCCAGGTTTTCTCTGTAACTATGGATACTAGGAACAGATTTGGTGGGGTGGTTTTCTGTTGTTTGGGGTTCTTTTTTAATTGATATTGTGTGTTGAACCTTTTAGGAAAACGCTAAATATCACAAGATGGCAGTGAATCACGAAGCTGCAATATTCCCCTCTGCACAGGAACAGCCATGTTCTGGATTCACAGATTTAGATTTTTTTAGCTATTTAGATTTTTTTTTTTTAATTGTAGAAGCAAATTCAGAGCACTAGTGACAATCTGTGGCTTGAATGCAGGGATCTCCACAAAAGAGCTGGTATTGGGGAAGTTTTGTAGCCAAAGCACTGTAGGGATGGGACCGTAGTTCTTTTAATCTTCCCTGATTAAAAAAAAAAAAAAAAAAAAAAAAAAAGTGAAAGTCAAGTAAAACAAAGGAGAGAAGAAGAATCTCCTTCCTGCCTTAAAGACAAAGGAACATTTTATAATCTCTGTGGGTACATCTGTATTCATCAAATGTGAC